TCCATCATTGTTTATTATTTACCTTGTTATTATTTCTTTTATTCTATTTTCTTTTGTTTAAATTTATCCTATTTTTCTAGTCATCTGGTGAAAGCTGAGGGTCTGAGACCTTTCTTTTCAATATAGGTATTTGGCATTATGAAATTTCCCCTACTACTGTGCCAGTTTCATTCGCGAATTTCAATATGTTGAGTTTTAATTTTCTCTCATTTCAAAATACTTTCTTGATTACCCTTTTGATTCTTCTTTAATTCATGGATTATTTAGAAATGAGTTATTTAATTTTAGATATCTAACTTTAATTTAATTTTAGATTTCTAACTTCATTGTGTGAAGAGACAATATAATTTTGTATGGTTAGAGTTCTAAATTTATTGAGAATCACACAATCAGAATATAGGTTATATTAGAAAATGTTCTGTCTGTATTTGAGAAGAGTTTGCATTTGGCTATAGTTGGGTAAAGTGATTGATAAATGTCAGGTCACGTTGGATGACAGCTGTGTTACAATCTTCTTCTATATATTCACCAATTTTTCCTTTATTTATTGAGAGAGGAATACTAACATCTCAGGCTATAATAGCAAGGTACAATATTGGATTTTTCTATTTTTTTTTGTAGTTCCATCAGATTTTGCTTCATTTATTTTGAATCTCTCTTATTAGATGCATAAACATTTAGAATGCTATCTCCTATTGATTAATTGAGCTGTTTAACATTATGAAATAACTTTCCTTATTGCTTTTCATATTTTTTTTGCTATGAAATATACTTTGCCTAGTATTAATATGCATTTTAGAGCTTTCTTCAGATTACTGTTAGCATGGTATATCTTTTTACATTTTGCTATTTTAGCCTCTTCTTTATATTTAATATGTGTTTATTGTAGGCAACATATGCATAGTTCTTATTTTTTAAGCCCAACCTGATGATCTCTACCTTTTAATTGAGATATTTAGACAGTTTACATTAATTGTAATGATTAATATCATTAGGTGTAAGTATGTTATCTTGCTATTTGCTTTATGCTTCTCCCTCATTATTTTTAAAGATTTATTTTTCTAGATAGTCATCTGTTTACTATTATGTGCTTAATTTGCCTACACTTATTTATTTTCATCCTGCTTGGAATTTCTTTACATCATGAACCTAAGAATCTGTGATCATTGTGAATTCTTGATAATTCTTAGCTACTGTGTCTCATAAATATCACCTTTACTCAATTTTGTCTAATCATAACTTTCTGCCCATATTCTCTAGTTTTAAAAATCTTGTTAGGCACATGTTGACTTTTTTCAGATCATTTAGGCTTATAATTTGTGAGGAGAATTTTAAAATGCATATGCATATAGAATGCCAGTGGTGGATAAAATATTGTATGTTCTGTTATTTCTTGCTTAGAAATTATACATTTAAATTTTAGAAAATTTAGAATGAGTATGGATATTAGATGCTAATATTAGCAGTTAATTTTATAGTTGAACTTCAGACTGGAGRTTAGGTAATTTGTCTAAGAATGTACATTTAGAACAAAATAAGTTTGTTCTTTCAAATGAACTAAATCCTTTAATATCTTTTGCTTCAAAATATTTATGGGCATTGACATGAGYTATAATGTGAGACTGCATCCCCCCACTTTAATTCATAAATTTAAGTCCTAACCCATTTTACCTCAGAGTGTGGCTATATTTGGAGATAGTTCTTTTAAAGAGGTAATTAAGAAAAAAATATGAGGTCATTAGCGTGGGCCTTAATCCAGTATGACTGGTGTTCTTATAAGAAGAGGAGATTAGGGCACAGACATGTATATAGAGAAATATCCTGATAAAACTAGTAAACTAGATATCAATCTAGTAAACTAGAAGACAATGACCCTCATAAGAGAGGCTTCAGAAGAAATCAACTCTGCCAACAACTTAATCTTGGATTACAGCCTGCAGAACTATAAGGAAATAAATTTCTATTCTTTAAACCATGCAGTTTGTGGTACTTTGTTACAGCAGCTCTAGCAAACTAATACAACATCTTACTTTTTTTTTGTTTTTATTATTATCCCTAGGGAACATATATTTTATGAAAGGCGAAGACTTTCTTGTGTTCATATGTCTTCTCTGTATAATTTTGGAAACTGTCAGATCAGATACAAAATCTGTTTTGTTCAGCTGTTTCTGTCCTGTGTTTTTATATTCCTTATAGGTACTTGAGACATGCTATTTTTCTATTGGGATGTTCTATCTCTTCCTATAGATTTATTAATTCATCTAATGAAGAATTTTATTGGAATTAAGGTCCATTATTAACTTGGTTGGATGGTTTACTATTAAATATAATGGCAATAATTTAGGTGTATTTGAAAATAACAGTTACAGTGTGTCTGTCTACTTGCATATTTATCCAGGATATAAGTCTGTTTGCGGGAGAGTAGTATGCTGCTATTTGAGGGTTCCAGGATAGCTTAAATAATGACCTAGTGGCYTATATTTTTTATAGGTTCTAAAAGTTTCTAATGTTACACTGGGAAATAAAAGAGGCTTACTAACATTTAATTTTCATTTGCTTTTTGGGAACATCTATATAATCCTACAAGATAAATATTCTTGGTTATTATTTCCACTGGCAAGCAGTTTTTCTTTTCACTCATAAACTGCCTTTTGCCATACAGATTTTGTCATATTTCTTAAGTTCTTCTGGTCATAAAGCTACTTTAAAATATCAAACTCATCAATCATATATTTCCTGGACTTCCATAATATAACTTGACTCTTAAATTTATAGTCCTTTTGCTGAGCATAATTTAGCTTTTAAATTTACAGATCTTCTTGCTGGACAGATCAAGCTGTTCAGTGTTTGAATAATGTATTCCTGATAAAGGACAGAGTGGGTTTTTATAAAGAACATGACTGGCAACACCTTGACCTGATCAGAATGATTTCAAGTTGAAATTTGAGAGGAGAAAGAAATACTGATAAAACTAGTAAACTAGATATCATGAAAGGCAGTGGTTATAAAGAAGGACCCAGAACAGCACTGTGGCTTCTGGTATTTATCTTCTACTTCACAGACATGCTGGTGTTAAAGTAAATCTGAAATTTTAATAGAAGGCAAATACATTTTCTAGTTATATAAATTTACATGAACATTCAATATTCTGAAGTATCCCTGAAGCTTGATGAGTAAGTATCATTCTTTTGTGTTTTATGGTTTGGTTTTAGAATATAAGTCATATGATAATCTTTGTTGACAGTAAACAATGTTTTAAAATATTATAAATATGTTTATAATGAGAGTAGAGTAAATGCAATTACAGTGGGAAGGAACATAAATTTCATTGAATCCTATCTAATACAAGACAAGGGAACATAATCTTATGTCAAGAAGAGGTCTTCACAAAGGAAGTCATAATGGTAACATAATGTTAAAAATTTGGGGATTTTGGGTGGTGATAAGTGGAAAGAAAAGCAGAAATTCTGTTCTTATGGAAACAGGGTTTAGTTTCTTAAATGTAGGACAGAACATTTTAATTTCTAAGGTTATCTCCAACCCTATTCTCTGTTAATGCAATTAAGTTGACATTTTTGAAATGTGGGATRAAAACGTTTTCTTTCCCAAATTTAGTATGTATGAAAATTGAATGGAGCTGGGTTTGGTGGCACACACTTGTAATCCCAGTGACTTGGGAGGCTGAGGCAGGAGGGTTGCAAGTTCAAAGCCACCTCTGCAATTTAGCAAGACCCTAAGCAACTGGATGAGTTCTCATCTCAAAATAAATAAAAGAAGGAAAAGGAAAAGGGGATATGACTTGGGTGGTTAGGCTGTTCTGGGTTCAATCCTTGGCTACCACCGTGCCCCCCCCACCAAAAAAAAAAAAAAAAAAAACCGAACAAAAAAGAAAAGAAAAAAAAATTGAATGGAACATTTGTTAAATTGTATATATCTGAGATCAGAAATTCTGATTTAATTTTGAAGTAGGACCTAGCAATCTACATTTTATGTTTTTGATTGAGGATTCCATGTTATTCTTTAGATAAAAATAAGYTTATTAAAATATCATTATTTTGCATTTTATGGTTTGGTCTTGAAATATATGTCATATAGACAATCTTTATTGACAGTAAACAATGCTTTAAAATATTATAAATATTTTTATAATGTGAGTAGAGTAAATGCAATTACTTTATAACATTTGCTGCTGTAATTTAGGGTGTTGTGAAGAAAGGGAAAGTGGGACGTAAGTGAATGAGGGCAATAGTTGAAGTCAGCAATTCTACATGAATCTGTCATTTTAGATCCTCAGGGAAGCAGATACCAAGATGGGGTAAGAAATGAGAGATAAAGGGGAGGAGGGGAAGGCATAGGGAATATTTAGATTACTGTGAAATCTGACACTTTGTAGAAGYTGAGTGAAGGAAAACGGATGGGGTTCCGTGATACAGGCCTGAGCAAATCTAAGCCCGTCCAATGGTCAACTCTGATGTGACAACAAAAGAGTCCACTGTTGACCAGACACAGCCAGACCCTGGCTCCCTCAGAGTTCTCAGTCATGGACATCTTTGTGGACAGAATGTGGCCTCTGCTCCAGCACTGTGGCACATCCTAAGTGCTGCAACTCCCAGCTCCCCCACTCCTCCTGACAGCCACCTCCTGAAGGGAAGTGGAGCAGTGCACATTCCTGGCTGCTACATATTTTTTTTTTTTTTTGATGCTGACCGAGTGCGAATGCATACTTGGAGGCATAATTGGACATCATCTGTGCTGATTTCCTTTGGCTTCTGTTTGTTTGCTTCTACTTTTATTGTTGAAGTCTCTCCGATTCCATTTAGTCCCGCACATTTTTCCCCCTCCACCCATCAGGTGTATGATGTGAATGATTCTATTCATGTATGATTTTGTTTAAATCGATTCAAAAATAAATACCCTTTGTTAGGATGTGATGGTTAAAAACTGCTTTGTAAAGATATGGGATTTTAACAACTCAAGAGTCTTTCATGTTCTTCCTCTAGTCTGGCACCAAGAAGAACTTTCTCGGATTAACCAGTGTCTCACTGGAGCTGAAAGGAAGGCTGCTTTGTGTGAACTTTTGGAAAAAGAGACSCAGATAATTGCTTCCATTGGGAGACACAGATCCATTGCTTATTTGGAAAGAGAGGAATCAGAAAAACAAGCTTTTTTGAATAAGGTTAGTGAAGAAACTATTATTTCAATATGAATGTATCTGGAGTTTAAAAATGTGTAATCATGATCTAAAAGGACAGAATCGTAAGAATTTGCATGAATTTTGTTTAGCATTTTGATGGCTTATTTCTTTAAGTTCTATATACTTAATTCTTATGTAGCTGTATATGTTAGTCACAGCCAAGAATAAAAAATGATAAGTAACACAAAAGGAACTTGTTCTTAACTAAAGGGATTTGATCATGAAGGAAAAGATGGCGACACCTTCCTTGTGTCTCTGTTCATTTAAATTTAGGCTGGCTGTGTGCAGTAGATAAGTTGCACACTCTGGTGAAATGCGTGGTATGAAAATCACAGAACATCAGGGTCTGGGGTACTCTGATAGTAAGCAGCCTGGGGAAAATAACTCAAGTCTGGTGTCTTACTTGGGGCTCACTATAACATCAACTGACCCAAAGGGTTTATGATTATTGAAAACCATGAAAAAATTCAGTTAAGGGGAAAACTAAAGTAATTACCCTTTTGTGGTCAACCTGCCTGTTTGATATTGAATAGCTTGTTTCCATAGTAACACAGTTCCTTTTATAAACCTGATCTTTCCAAACAATTAAAAGCCAATCCAGCCAGAAGAAAAGGATGAATTTCTCCAAGAGATTAGCCTGTAGTGATTCTAGTTTTGTGGTTCTTATTTTTTGAGAACATTTGCTCTTAAAAACTACATATATCTATATCTATCTATCTATCTATCTATCTATCTATCTATATATATATATTAGTTTATCTCTATATATAGTTTATAGTTTATGTGTATATATATACATACATATATATGTGTGTGTATATATGTGTATATACTTTAAATGACCTCCTCTTATTTTACTTATACACTATTTGATCTCAGTTTATTTTGGCTTTTGCTATAGTTCCAGGTCCAAGCCAAACCCATAAGAGCTTTCAAATCATCTATGCAGCTTCCTACTAGCATTGTCCCTTGGATACCTCAAGAGTGCACCTCAAAATGAAGTAGCAACCCTAAGTCATATAATTTCACCATTTTTTACCCTCCTCACCTCCATACAGATCCTATTCTGTAGCACTGGTATAACCTTTCTTAGGAATGTTTCATCATCTACTCATTTGCTCTAGACAGTTGCCTGGCTGGTGTTCTTTCTTCCCCATCTAGCTACAAACCTCTTTTATTTCTATTACTTTAATATCTCCTTAATTCTGCATTTTTTCCTTTCTGACTCACTATCATTAAGTACAGAGAAATAACTCTGTTGTGGCATCCTGATAACCTTGCCTGTAACAAGTAGGCCACACAGGCAAAGACTTGGAGCACAGATATTGTGAGTCTTGTCAGAATGCCTTCAGATCCTCCTCAACAGGAAAGGAGAGGGGTAGCAGCTCCAGTTTCCTGCCTCCCCATTTTCCCTGAGAGAATGTCACAAGATAGGCCTTGCCTTTTCTTGTCCATAAAATTGACACTTATTTGATGGACTCTGGATTTTATTCTCACCTGGATTATTTTATGTTTCCAAGTTGGACTATTGCCTCTAGTCTRATCTTCTCAGTTCCCTCCTCCAACATCTACACCAGGGTCATAGTGACCTCACTAAACACACCTCTGATCCTGTCCTTCCCCATTGCCCTGAGAGAGCAGTGCTTCTTCTCATGATCTGTGATATCTCCCTCATCCACTGTTTCCCTGTCACCACAAACACTGCCCCAGCCATGCTCAATTACTTGCATGTCCCCAGAAGGACCASGTATCCTCATTATGCTTTTGCATCTGAGGCTGCCTCTACATGAAACATCCTTTCCCTTCTTCTGTAGTAGCCAGCTACTTACCCTATAAAACAGGCTCAGATGTCCCTTCTTCCAAGGAGGATCTGATTCTCCTACTAGCCTGCACTGGGACTAGCTGTCCTGGGACTCTGTCTCACCTTTGTCTTTGTATGCAGTGGTCATGTTTTGCTGTCTTTATTGAATGTCTGAATTCTTCCTAGATTCTGCACTTCTTAAGGCAGGAGATGTCTTTCATCTCTGTATCCTTATGTCTTAGCACATTCCTTATCACAGTATCAAGAAATGTTTGTGGAGAATGGCAGGGAGGAGAACTAAGGAACAGATATAATGGTGTGCAATCTTACATTTCAAACATCATCAAGAAATTATGTAGATTCTGTCATTTAAAATTCTTGAATATCTTTATTCTGAGAAAGAAGACTCTATCGTAGGGAAAGCTGTAATACTCATATTTATTGTCATATTTCAAACAAAACTTCTTACTGTAGCAGGTTGCTTTTACTTGCATCCAAGCTTCAGCTCTGGAAACTATTCTGATGTGTCTGATCATTAATCTCACCAGAGAGAACGGCATGAATCCAGGCAACATGGGTGTTTCCATGAGCTGGAGGCTTCTAATTGCTAGGGGACAGGAAGATGGGTGGCACTTATCTTTTCTTACTTGAGGCTGGTCCATCTCCAAGATATTGCATGTGTGCTATCATTGCTGCTTTCAATTTCCTATGAACTACTGGAAATTCTGCTGTTCTAAATACTTGTATAATGCCTGTTCCTCTTTATGTGACGACTGTCTCACATTCCAGTCCCCATGTCCAAAGCATCGTCTCTAACATTTTTTGAAATTATATAAGATTCATCAGTGGGTCAAAGCCCAACATGTAAAAGTGACTTCAGAGCCAATTGATTACCCTGACCCTTTCTCATGAAGTATAGCATGTTAAGAGGTCTTTATGTAAATTTCATTTAAAAAGCAGATAAAAAGGAGAAATTTTGTTTATAAGGATTCCTGTGAGGAAGGAAGACCTTTTTTTTAAATATTTGATAAGTTCTTGATATAGAATTTTAGGTCCTAAAGAATCCTGAGCAAATAAAGAATTGCTGTGTGCTGGGAAAATAGAAAGTTTTTGATTTATTTTGTTATGGAGCTGGTGTTGTGGCTCAGTGGTAGAGCACTTGCCTAGCATGTGTGAGGCACTGGGTTCCATTCTCCGCTCCACATATAAATAAATAAAATAAAGGTCCCATAAGTTTTTATTCTTGCTAAGTGACTTACTCTAAATATTTTTCAAAGCATCAAATAATTTGTAATTTTAACACATCAAACATTGATTTCCACAGGTTGTCAGATATTAAAAGCCTATAGGTTGACAGAGGTGAAGAAATTCAGGTCAAGAAATTTGAAAGAAAAATCATCAGCTGGTTTCTAATGTATCTTGGATGCTCTTTACCCACTCTGCATCAAGAGATCATTTGAATTTTGTAAGAGGTTTTCCCTAGAGTATGAGCCATTTATTTCTTTGATTCTCTTTGATTCATACACCATTTCTTATAGCCACAAGCTTAAGAAACTGCAATTCACGTCAGCCGTGTCATTTAAATGCTTTTTCTCCATACCCAGGTCCCCAGCAGCTAATGGGACAGGAAAATGCATCCAGCTCTTTGTGAACATGGCAAGAAACAGGGGTGTCTCTGTGGATGAATAAAACCCCTTTGCTGTATAAAAGAAAGGTTGATCACCACCCARTGGCTTTTGAGGGGTTAAGCTTGTGCTTTCTTTGTGCCCTTAGGGACTTGAGAATTAATTTAGGAGGAAGAAAAAGCCCACTCTCACAGTGTGGCCATTTCTTCTCTTTTGTGGAGGCCTGCTGCTCTCAAGGTTTTTGTTATCTTTCCACCTTCCCTTCCCTGAAATGCGTCTTCCTGCTGTTCTTCTGTTCCTCTGTCCCAGAGTCTGTGCTGTCTCATTTGTTGGCAGCTAAATGGAATTTATTACGCTTCATTTTCTGAAGCAATTTAAGAACATGATTGTTGTACAGTTCTTATTATAGCCAAAGCATTCAAAGAAAAAAGGAGGTAGGAAAGAGAAATAAGCAAAGTTGACATTTTTCTGCGACAGAGTGAAAAACACCTTAAGACCTAAAATCAAAGAAGCTTACTCTTAAAGACCAAGCTATCAGTGTTGGCAGAAATATGTCCAAGAATGAAAACATCTTTGCCAAATGGATTTTTTAATATTATCTCCATTAGCTCTAGGGAAGTGGAACTTCAGATCTGGGACTCTTTGGTTTTATCACCCAGTTCTCTTTATTTTATTTACTCCTAGTTATTCTTCAGTTTTCCTCTTAGATACTGTTTTCTTTTCACCAGCCTAGTGCTTTATAGCAACCCATAGTTATCTACTAACCTGTAGTCTTTACTCCATTCACCCTTTCTTTTATTTTTTTAACATCGATTTTATTTTTATGTGGTGCTGAGGATCAAACCCAGTGCCTCATGCATGCTAGGCGAGCACTCTACCTCTGAGCTACAACCCCAGCCCTCACCCTTTCTTTTAATTACTTATTTTCTTAACTTTCTATCCCATAAGATTTGAGAGTTCTTGACATCAGGACAGTATTTTATTTACTCATTGTACTCACAGTACTCACATAGTACTATTTAGTAAACACAGTAAATATTTGTTGAACCAATGAATGAATAAATAATTTAGGCCTGAGAAATATATAGAGTTATATGAAGAAATTATTTCTTATTTTTTTTGGGAGAAATAGAAGTAATAATCATAAAACAATTATAGAACAATATGGATCCAGCTTTCATTGGCCTGAGTGAGATAGAGGCCCTCCATGTTTGTGTGAGTGTTTCTACAGGTGTAAAAGAATTTTAGATACATTGTTGGCTCAAACCATAGTATTAGATGACTCTTTATAAAAAATGTAGGGTTTGAATTCAAAATTGAAGGGTAAGAAGTATTTGTATAAAGAACATATTTGGAAAGACCCAAAATATGATTATGTTGTACCAGATTCCACAGGGCCAGAAACTTGGAGGGAGAGAATGTAGAATTAAATCAAAGCATCAACTGAAAAAAAAATATAGTGAAGGAGATAAAGTAGGCATTTCATAAAAACATTTTAAGGACTATTACAAATGAAGTAAGTAACCAACCTGCAGAGAAAAAAGTATTGTTCACATCACTGGTAGAAAGTAAATTACATTTAATAGAAACACCCTGAGAAAAATTTCATGCAATGATTAATATATTAGCTGGACTTTAGAATATTGCAGTATTAAACTCAGCCTAAGCTTGCTTATTCCTTCAAATTTTTAAAAGGAATTTTGAAACCATTGTTGTACTTCAGTAACATGCTGAGGCTTACTCAAAAATGAGGCTGTATCCATTTTTAATTATTTTATTTCTAAGTGAAAATAATTAAATAATAAAATATTTTATTGCTCTATTTCATTTTTATAATTCTTCAATCAATTTTATATAATTTTATTAGTCTGCTAATTAACAATACATTATTTAATATTATTTTTATGACCTAATATAAATTAATTACAGGGCTACAGCTTCTCAATTTTTGTATTACAACTAGAATTGAGAATTTAAAGTTTCTAATGAAGTTCTCTACCTGTGAACTACATTTATTTTCACTTTGAACAGAATATGATGCCATTATTTTGAAACTATATTAAATGCAGTTGTTTGTAAGAGATAATTTTGTAGTGATCAATGTAATTTAGGTAATATAAAATGTAAAAAATTAAAGGTATATTGGTGTTATAACTAAAAAATTCTTGATAACACTGACCTTTTGAATAACTGCCTTATATTATGTTTCCATTTGGTTATTCTACATACCTAATGATTTGTTCCAATGCATACATCTTCTCTTTAGGTTTCAAATTAAATCTAGGATTTAAAGGGCTGCAGGTATGGCATAATTGGGCATAAATTGAGGTCCTCATGAACCCCATAGCAATTATCAGTTAACCTACAAAAACTTGGTAGGAGAGAACAGAAGCAGTGGCAAACAGAGAGGCCCCATCATTACAGATTATCCTGGTGTCCTCTAGTCTGGAAGAACTAATTCTGTGTCCTGTCTCTGGTCTTTGACCTCCTCTCCTAGGAGTCTTTAAATGAATTTCAAGGCAAGTGAACTCCATCTTTGGCCCTTGGCTCAGGGGGAGACTAGTTTGGGAATTACTAAGCCAGATTTGGAAATAGGAAGTGAGAATTTTAACTAACATCAAGGTAGCAGGGATCATAGCACTACTAAGATAGTTAAGTGCAGATGTCCCCTCAAACCCATGGCAGATTGGTTCCAGGACCCCCAGTGGATACCAACATCCACAGTTGCTCAAGTCCCTTATATAAAATGGCATAGTATTGGTATATAACCTATGTATGCCTTCTTGTGTACTTTAAGCCTCTGGATTATTTATAATACCTAATACAATGTAAGTACTATGCAAATAGTTATTACACTTGTTGTTTAGGGAATAATGACAAGAAAAAGAAAAGGCCTATATATTCAGTACAGACAAAATTTTTCAAAAATAGTTTTTGATCTGTGGTTGGTTGAATCTGAGTATATGGAACCCACAGATAGAGAAGACTTACTGTATAGTTGTTTCACTATGGACATCTGCTTTGTGAAGAATTTTGAACTTGTTATAGATTTATTTTTGTGTAGGGCCCCAAACCATAAAAATCCCTTTCTGGTGTATCTTTAGGTCTGAAAACATTGAAGATTGTCACAACTGCTACATAAAAGTTGTCTGCAATTGGCAGGGCATAATCAAGACACATTTATTATATACACTCAACATAGTTGAATCAAGCAGATAAAATATTCTTAACATTCTTAATGCATGCCCCCTGTCCCTACCTGGGGCTAATGAGTAATTCTACATGCCCATAAAGCCATTCAGCATACCAGTTAGTGCAGGTTGACTGCAGATTCTGAAATCGGTAGAAGACTTTTCTATTGACAGAACAGCTCATTTTTTTCCTAACATGTTTTATGTTAGCCTGATCTATAAATTCTTCAATTAATTTTCCTAAGTTTTAGCGCTACTTTTAGTTATGAATGACGTTAGGGTAAACTTTTAGAGGAAGGAACAAAATTGTTATTTTTTTAACTCTAATTAACTAGAATTCTAAACACAATATTATTTTAAAGTGTTCAGCTCCAAAGATATGGAGAAGATCTGATGGCAAAACAGTTGAGATGGATACCCAGTTCACCATCAGAGCCAGAGAACTGCAGAACATCTATAAGTGCATTATACTGAGGAATCTCTCTCAAGATGAGAGAGTGGATATACTCTTAACACTTAAACATACTGTGAAGGTATGTTTACTTTCTCTTAGTTTTGGTGTAGAGTTCAATATAAATAACAAAATTAGCTATTAGCAATATAAGTAAAGTATTTTTTTGTTAAGTAATTATAAATATTTTTAATAAATGTTTATATGTATTTTATTGTATCAACAATTATGTTATTTTGATATAATTTGGGAAGGATATGGTTTGTTAATTAATATTTACCTAAAAGCTCTTAAATGTATATTATACTACATAATAAAATGTAAGCAGAGCTTAATGAATATTTGAAATGTAAATGTATCTATGCAGTGCATGCAAATGTAAGCAAATAAATTGCATGAGATTAATAATTAACTCATTTCCACAAAACAGCAATTATTATCTACATTTTTGGACATTTTTCAATGAAAAGCTGTTTTTCACAGTTTTAAAGCAGTATTATATAGTATTTTTCAAATCTCTCTTTCTCATCCATTATTGACTTCTGTGTTTTAAATTCTGCTTTTAATGAAAACAAAGTTAATGGATGGCACAGGTCAAGTTTCCTCAAGAAACCGGCTCTAGTATGGGGTTTGTGTTTAGAGGTTCACCAGAGTGCACTCAAGATCACTGGTGTGAGGCAGTATAGAAAGCAGGATTGGGCAGATGGAGTTCACCTGCAGTGACTTTAGCCAGTTTCTCTGGGAACTCTGAAGCTGGGTCGGCCCTCCAGAGTCCTGCTGAATTGAAGCAAGGGGCAGGACTTTTCACTCCCACATGGGCCTTCTACTGGATGTGAGCTGACACTGGAAAAGAAATGTGATTTGGGATGAGGCACCTCTTTCTCAGCGTGCACTAAGACTCAGAAAGACAAGTAGCCCATGTTTTCTCTCATATGTGGAATCTAGGGGGGGAAAAGCGTAGATATGGAAGTGGAAGGAGGCTGTCAGCGAAGAGGAAGGGGACATGGGGAGTGAAGAAATAGAATAAATACAATCAAAGTACATTATATGCATTTATCAAATTGTCTCAATGAAACCGGTATTCTGTACAATTAATATGGACTAAAAATTATAATAATAAAAACAGAATTTTCACAAAGGAACTCAGTTGAAAGTTGTTGGTCCATGACTGGCCAGAAGGGGGAGTCTGAGAGCTGCAGTTCTGACTATAGCATACCCCGCACAAATTGCTGTTTCACTTGTTTCATGTAAGTTTGGGGAATAGTTCCTCTGATCTGGATAAGCCCTTTCTTCCTGGAAAAAATTACAGGAGTGTGGTTAGTGAGAACAACTGCAGCCTCTGTTGTAGSCATTGGCTTTAAGGCCACATAGATACTCTTTCCTCTCTTTCCTCTGCTACCCATTTTAGATTTCCATCACTCTAGACTAGCACCCTGACTGATCTGGGTGGCCAATAACTTGGGGTGACTACACCTTCAGAACTCTAGACTACAGATTACTATGCTTTTCTTAGGCTAAGGAGTCTAGACTTCCATTTGTTTTCAAAATCAGGCAAGGGTATACCAAAACATGCCTACTGTCCGAGTGTCAAACATATTCTTCATTGTCCCCATTAGGGAGTAAGTAGGGCCAATTCTATTTCCATTCTCTTTGTTTCTAGGATAGAGCAGTTTCAGAGGCTTCCATATGATCTTTTCCATCAGTATATTTCTTAATCTACAGGTCAAAAGATCAAGAGTAGAGTGGTTGTGCCAACTACCAAGTATTCCATTCCAGATATGAATTCAAGGACTGGGGAATGAATGCGTAAAGTCTCTATAACCAATTAGTATCCATTGAGAGCTGGACTTGGGCCAAGTTCCCTTTTCTTTTTTGTGTCCACTTACCCCTGATTCTCAGAGGGTCCTGGGCCTTTATGTCCCCAATCCCTAGTAATTGGTCATTTGAGTCAGGATATCACCAAGAAGAAAGCATGACTGTTTTAGTTAACGTTTTTGCTGCTGTGACTAACCGATTGACCAGAACAATAGAGGAGGAAAAGTTTATTTGAAGGCTCACAATTTCAGACATCTTAGTCCATAGAAGGATGGCTCCATTCCTCARGGCTCAAGGTGTCAAGGTGAGGCAGAGCATCATGGTGGGAGAGTGTGGCAGAGGGAAGCAGCTCACATTGGGAAGGAGAGGGGGACCACTCTCCAGACAGAAAATATATACCATATAGCCATGCCCCCAAGAACCACTTCCTCCAGCCACACCCCACTTGCCTCCAGTTACCACTCAGTCAATACCATCAGGGATCAATTCACTGATTGTGTTAAGATTCTCACAATCCAATCATTGTTTCTCTGAGGTATCCTCAGGTGGATTCTTACTGCTAAGCACTCTAATTCTTTTGAGAAGAAACTGCACCAAGACACATGGCACTCTTAAAATACATCAAATAGCTGTGTAGATGGTTCTTATTGGGAGACAGGTTCCCATAGTATCTTGCATTTCTGCCTATGTTGAGAGCACAGGCTTTCACTGCTTTTGTTCTGGACTGCCTTTTCAAAGATCATACGTAGTGTAGTGATCAGCCTTGATAGGTAATGCTAGTTAGGTAGAGAGGGCAATCAATAGTTGTAGAGGCAAGAAATAAACATGACATTTGTAGAGAGCAAAAGAAAGATAGGAAATGCAGTAGGAATCCCTACCTGACCAGTTAATTAAAAATTCCAATGATGAATTCAAAAGATAACTCATGCATATTAATGTTTCAACTTAAAATATTCAGATATATATATATATATATATATATATTTAACAGTATTTTGATGGAGGATTAAGGTATGTGAGCATACCTTAAATTCTGACTCTATTCACTTATGATTGTACAATCTTGAATAATTTCCTTAATATTTCTGAAAATTCGTTTCATCATTAGTAAAATTAGTCACTTCAAGAATATGTATATGTGTACATATCTATCCACATATATAGAGATATATACATATGGTCTCTCATTAATGGGGAGCCCTCTGTGAACAACAGGTTTTATTTAGATGACAATTACTAACACAGAATCTTAAACCTGAATATAACCTTCTAGGGATCTTGAGGGAGAAAGAGATCATGAAGGAGTATGAGAATAAATAAGAGTGATGTCTAGGTCTCATCTTAGGGCAGTTAAATTAGACCCTCAAATGTGAAGACAATATCAAAACCTCCCCCAGTTCCTTCTAGAATGCCTGCAGGGTGAAGGACCGCTGATGCAGACTTTCATATTAGCTTTACCAAGTAAGCGTTAAGAAGCATGAAAGAACATTCTTTTACTCCTGCTCATTGCCTTCTGACTGAATTATCTTGTTCTCCTCTGGGCAGTTGGAGGAAACTATTTCTGTTTTACTACTTATAAGTACTGCTTTTATCCTGGAACTCTTACCTGGGCTTTCTTAATTTATCTACATTCATTATTATTACTTTATAATTTCTACCTGATTGCGGTCCTCTTGTCTGCTAGCACTTACTATCATGCTGACTTGCATGGTAAACATTTCCTTGTTTTTTCTTTAGTTTTACCACCTCTGTATAAATAATATGCTTTAGTGTTGCTTATTTTTGAATTTTTAAAAATTATACTGTATTGTTTCATCTTGCTTATTTTGCTTAAAAATCACTTTGTAAGATTTAAGTATATTATTTTATATAGCTAGAGTTCATTCATTTTCATAAGTTAGATAATATTCCATTGTACAAATAAACTGTAATTTGTTTAGGCAATCATTTTGTTTACGGATGTTGCTTATTTCTAGTTTTTTGGCTCCTGTGAACAATAGCTCCAGACGTGCATTTCTTTGAGGGCCAAGAGTATAATGACTGGGCCAATGACTATGCATATCAACTCTACTACTAGAAAATGCTAATTTTTTCCCCAATTGGTTATAATAATTTCTACTTCTAGCAGTATTGTATCATTTCTCTTAAAATGTAGCTTCTGGTTTGGTTGGGTAATAAATTTGAAAACAAACAGTGATTTTTAAAATTTTATATTGAATATTTTGTGTTTTGTATAGGAACATGAATGTAAACTGACCCAGGAAATCCTAGAACTGGTTGATAGAGAAGTTGACCTTATGATGAGAGGAGTCAAACCTTATAACCTAGAAGGACTCAGAAAAAGAATTGCAACACTCTTTTTTCAATATATTAAAACACCTCTGTTTAATCCTGAAGTGGCAAGATACTTGAAGGTACTCTATTTTTTCCCCTGTGTTCCTTTTTCAGAATCCTAGATGCAATATGTTAAATTGGAAGATGCTCAAATTTTGCTTTAACTCTTTATTTGGAATCTAGTGGAAGATCATTTTATTGGTGAAATTTCCTTTGAATGATTAGTAAGTTGATAAACTATACTTACTCATTTAACTTCTATGCCTGTGATTCTAGCCTTGAATTTTTCTCAAAATAAGTAAACCAATGTTCCAGCTGAGTATTGCATTATGTTGAATTCATCTAATATCTCACACCTCAATGCTTTACACACACTGCTATTTCCACCCAGAATGCTCTGCTATTTTATTTCATCAACCAAATCCCACTTGGGTTTAGACTCARCTCTCATTTGTGTCCTCTCCTTCATGGAATAGTTAAACTTTTCATTTCTTAGATTGCATGTTGCACCTTATTTAACTTCCCTAAAATACTTAGCACATAGCTATACTGATTAGTGAACAGACCCCTATAGATATTCTGAGGAAAATCCAACTGTAAATTGTGTTTGAATTAAAATGTGTTCTCCAAATCTGGCATGCTTTGGTTTCTGGGGGATTTTGTGGTCCTACGCCAAGATAAGTGCCTTATTGCTTTCATACTGTGCAAAATCATTTAAAACACTTTCAGTAAATTGGGATTAAGGGGAGGGGATTGCCAAAGAATTATACATTGTGTTTTATTTCAATGATTATTTTTAAAGTTATAATTTAAGGAGCAGACTAAATATTTTAGCTTTTTGACGAAACAGAATCCCAATATTTAGACAAAACCTTTAGAAGAATATAATTTATTCTAGAACCTTAATTATATTGTTAAAAGCATATTAAATTATAATGGAAGTCCAAGAGAAAAGTTGCTCATTCTGTTATTTCAATCAGTGGTTCATTTGTTCAAGTTAACTTCTATTCTTTCTCTATAGACTAATGCAGTTCATACATATTCATAAAAACCTTAGTGGGAATTTTGTATTCTGCACTTCCCATATTATTTTATTCATGTTTTAAATTTACCTTTGGCAAAATTCACTCTTTTTGTTGAATTCTGACAAATGTGTTAAGTCATGTAACTAACAGTGCAGTCTAGGTAATATTCCTGTCACCAGAGAGAATTTCCTTTATGCTGCTCTTTGTAGTCAGCACTTTCCTGACCCCCGCAACCCTTGGCAAACACTGACTGACCTGCACTTTATTTCCATAATTTGATCTATTCCATAAGTGAAATCATGCTATCATGGAATTGTATGCAGTCTTTTGAGACTAACTCTTTGGATTAGCATATTACTTTTCAGATTCACCCATGCTATTGAGTGTATAGTAGTCCCTTGCTATGACTGAGCAATTATCTTATTGTCTGGATACACATAAGCTTCACTTTTATCCTTTTATCTATACAGGAAATTTTGAGTTTAGAGTTTGGGGCTTTTATGAATAAAAACCTATAAACACGTGATTATAAGTTTGAGGGTAATACCCCAAAGAGAATAAAATCATATTTGCAGGTAAATGGATGGAGTTAGAGAAGATAATGTTAAGTGAAGTTAGCCAATCCCCCAAACCAAATGCTGAAGGTTTTCTTTGATATAAGGAGGCTGATACATATTGGGGATAGGAAGGGGGATCATGGGAGGAATAAATGAACTGTAGATAGGGCAGAGGGGTTGGAAGGGAAGGGAAGGGGCATGGGGTTATTAATGATGGTGGAATGTGATGATCATTATTATCCAAAGTACATGTATGAAGACATGAATTGGTATGAATATACTTTGTGTACAGCGGGAGATATGAAAAGTTATGCTCTCTATGTGTAATAAGAATTGTAATGCATTCCGCTGTCATATATATAAAAAAAAGTTTTGAGGTAAGTGGGTTGGGATTACATTTTCTCATTTTTAAATGCTACTGGGAGTAGCATTGTAGAGCCACCTGGTAAATGCACATTTATATTTATAATAGACTGCTAAACTTTTTTTCCAAACTAGTAGTTCAAGGTTGAATTCTCAACTGCTGTATGTGTGGGAGTTCCAGTTACTTCACATCCTTATCAATACTTGTATATCAGTTTTTAATTTTGAGAATTCTAACAAATTATGTAGTGGTGTCTTATATATTTTAATTTTTATTCCCTTAATAGCTAACGATAAGTATAAAAGTAATGATAATTGGGCTGGGGATGTGGCTCAAGCGGTAGCGCGCTCGCCTGGCATGCGTGCGGCCCAGGTTCGATCCTCAGCACCACATACAAACAAAGATGTTGTGTCTGCCGAGAACTAAAAAATAAATATTAAAAAATTCTCTCTCTCTCTCTCTCTCTCTCTCTCTCTCTCCCACTCTCTCTCTTTAAAAAAAGTAATGATAATAATATTGAACATCTTTTCATATCCATTTTGCCATACATAGACCTTTTTGGTGATATGTCTGCACGTATCTTTTGCCATCTTTCTTCTTTTTTATGGTTATTTTCTCATTATTAAATTTTGAGAACTTACAAAATATATTCTGTATGTAAGTTCTTTGTCAGAAGAATGAATTGAAAATCTCTCTCTCTGTGTGTCTTCATTCTTCTAGTAGTGTCTTTAATAGAGAAGGTTTTACAATAAGGCTCAATTTATTCATTTTAAAAATGGATCTTGCTTCTGGTTTAGTGTTTAAGAAATCTTTGCCTAATGTCCAAGTCCACAGGAATTTTCTTCTCTTTTTTATTTTATAATTTTGTCATTTTAAGTTTTTACAATTAGGACTCTCATCCATTCTCAGATATTCTTTATAAGGTATGAAGGATTACTTAAGGCTATTTTCTTCTTTTGATTTGTGAATTGCCCCCCCACCCTTTAAAGACATTTCTATAATGAATTGTCTTGACACCTTTGTCAAATATAATTGATCACTTTCTTTCACTTCTGGCCAAGATGAAGTAAGTTGGAGTTATCTGACTAAAATGGAAAAAGGAGAATCCATATTTTTTAAGACACCAGGCAATGGAAGAGTGTGATTCTTAAGAGGCAGGAAACAAATGAAGCAGCCCTACAGTTGTCTTATTTTACTGCCCTGAAAAACTGTCCATGCTACAATACAAAGAGAAGAGGATTCCCTGGGTTGAAGAGAGGGATCAAGACTCTTATTAGTCCCTGAGATCAACACCACTGAAATTTGTAGGACACAGGGCTACAAGTGACAGAATGGCACAGATAATGAACCCAGGAGATGCCCTTTATCTAGTTAAAGAGTGCCTCTTCAATTCCTGATTTCTTTTTTTTTTTCTTTTTTCTTTTTCCTGATTTCTTGATAGTGGTCTTGCTTTTGATCTCTGGTTGTTTGAGTAAGGGATCGATACTGAATTTACCAAATATATTTTTCTTGCATTAATGGAGGTGACCGTATTTTTCTTCCTCAGATTATACTATTTTGTTCCTCATCGACTCTTCCTCAGTTTGATTTCCTACTCCCGAATCATGCAAACAGCATTAATAACCTGGAGTGCAATCTTTCTTGCCTTACTCAATGCTCATGCAAACAGCAGTTGAAGCTGTGACTGAATTCAGTAACGTAGGAGCACCTTAGATCATCTTTGAGCACCTGAAATAGCTGCTTCAATCTTGAATTTAAACCAATATATTTAATTCCTCAAGAGTAACTCATACTAGTTTTATCTATTTATATTTAACCTTATTCAAGTACAAACTTTTTTTTGACATTTTCTGTATGCCTGGTAATATGTAAAGCACAGAAGATATAAAGACAGTTCACCGGGATCTGAGCGTACAGTTGTGGAGCAGGAAGCAAACTCATAACCACATGCTATAGAATCTGAGGAGAAATTCTCCAAAGATCATGTCTTGGAAAAGAGAAGCTGAGTTTTGGGAAGTCAGTATTTCTTTTGTTGTTTTCTGTTCCTGTGGAAAGTTCTGAGAAGGAGCTAGAGTTGCAAATATTGATTGATCATTTGGATAACATTTCAATTCACTGGAATAGAAGGTATAGCAAAACTGGGGGTTTGTTTTTTTTTTTATCCTCAAACAGCGTAAAAATAAAATTTGGCAAGATATGTGTGCCTCATAGGAACAGTTAAAACAGTGGGAAAGGACAACTGTTTTAGAGCGAAAAGGGAAGCAGATACACTATGCAACAATCAAACAATTCTATGGTCTGTTACCACAATACTGTAAAATATGCTCATAAAAATATTCTAATCTATCTTAAAAATGACATACCTGACTACATTATGTTCTGTATGCTTTAATTTTAAAGAAAGGAAATTTAAAACATTTTAGAAAGAATTCTATCAAAATTAAGACAAACTTCTTCCCCAAATGAGGTAAACTTAGAAATTATGCCAAAAATGAAGTTCTCATACCTTCAAAATAAACTTTGTGTACAATTAGTGTCTTGAAAAATTGTGCTCTATATGTGTAATATGAAATGAATTGCATTCTGCCATCATGTATAACAAATTATAATAAATAAAAAAATTTTAAAAATAAAAATGATCATTCTAAATAACTTCTCTCAACTAAATCCAACCTATAATCCATTTAATTTTTAATCCAATTTAAAATTACTTTTTTGTTTGGCTCATGCCTTTGTGAAAATATTCATTAAAACAAAAGATTTAAGATTTTTTTTCCTACTCTCTAGGGAAAATCTTCAGATAATCTTTGCTGTTTCTATTTTTGGGGGGATATATCCTTTAATATCTCAAACTACATGCTAGGATTAAAAAAATGTTACTGACTTTAAAGAAGAGTGGCTCCTTGTACATTTTTAGTTTGCTTAGTGGAACAAGAATTTGTAGAAATGCCACTAATCCTCTGCCCCCATCCCCGAATTATGTAGCTTAGTTTAATTAAGAGTTTTCTGCCATCATAAGCCTAATAGGGTTAAGTTGTCGTCTTATACAGTTTCAGGTTGGTAGAGAAAATTTTTTCATGGTTTCACAATGGTCTATCATTCCTAACTGGCTTTCATGAGCGGACTGATATAATGTCTAGTTTAATTCCTAAGAGGAAGGAAAATAATATTAAGTAAATAAATCTCAGAATAAGAACTCAGAAATGTTGTCTTTGAGTTCTTTGATTATATGTCTAGATCACTCTTCCTTCCTCCAGAACAATTAACTATCTTTTTCATGTACATATGTTATCTCCAAAAAATTATTAGGCAGTGGACAATGACATTTTCAAAGAATATTACTCTTCAGGAAGATGGAACAGACTAGAAGGGAAGGTACAGAAACAGATGATCAGAACAAAGTAAATCATAAGAATGGATTATGTGGTCAATACTATAAATTTACCTTGAGTAAAAGAAAAAAGACACAAGTGAACATTGATCCCATTTCCTTCTTTATTAACATATTTTTGAGGGCTAGTGATGTAACTCAGTGGTAGAGTACTTGCCTAGCATGTGTGAGGCACTGGGTTCTATCCCCAGCACTGACAACACAAAACAACAAAAATATATTTTTGAAAGTTTCATGTATCAAATGCCAACTATGTTGCTGCTTAATCTTTCTTCTCATGGAGGCCAAAAATATGGATGTACCATAGATTAGGAAAGACTGGCTTACATAAGTAAGTCTTTGTTCAGTCTGGGTTGAAAGTGTTCTACTTTCCTTTCTTCTTCCCTCTTCCTTCCTTCCTTCATGGTACTTTGGACCATAAAGAACAATTGGGTTGAATCTTCTAAGATGAAATTACTTCCTGCCCACAGCTTTAGATATGGAGTTTCAAATATTGAAAATTAATCATTAACTAATTCGAATTCATTTTTTAAATTCATGAAATGAGAAGAACAATTGGCATAGTGGACTTTCATTTATATGCGAGACTAGCTATTTTGCCTATAGAAATAATTAAGTAAAATAGAATAAAAATATAAACTCTTTTCAAATAAGTGCTGAAAGACTCTGCCCACTAGTTTTTTTTTTTCCTGTCAATTAATTTTCTAGTGATTTGCCACATGTTTCTAGGGGTTAATGAATGACACAGATTTTCAATATTTTGGCAGGGTAAATAAATTTTGTATAGATTATCAAGTTCAGGAGAAATATGACTTTTTAAATTAGCCAATTTGAAACTCACTCTAAACATTAGTGCAAAGTGCTTCTGATGAGTGTTTGGCCTGATTTTTGCACCTCCCCTTTTCTTTTTCTTTTCCTGCTCTTTAGGTCCCTCAAGACCCACTGAAATTTTACAAGAAGATTTACTTTTGCCGCAGTTGCCAGCTCTATTTGCCTTCCACGGAATTTGCCATCTCATCTACTTCGAAGCACATATACAGATGTCGCCACTGCACCAACCTCCAGAATGAGGCTAAGCAACGAGAAGCATTTTTGAAGTACAAGTGCTTACTTCAGCGGCTATACTCTTCAGAGGCTGATTATGAAGATGAGTCTCAAATTGCTTTCTTGATGCAGGTATGGTCCATATGGGGTGCCATTCTTGGCTGAAATGCGTCCGTCAAGGATGATGTCTTGACAGGAAGTGGTTGCAGTTGAACGTGTGCTTGGGTGTGAAATACCACGCCCCCGTTTTCCTAATGTGGACAGTGATTCCAGCCTTGAGTTGTAGGCATAGACAGTTCTTGGTATGTAAGTACTGTGCTTTGCCCTGGAGATGCGCTAGTGACCAGACCCTCCATCCTAGAAAAGATAGACATCAAAAAGTAGGACAAGTCCCTGTAACAGCAGATGACAGTGTGATGAGGAGAAGTGTGGAGACCATGCAGGATTTAGAAAGGGAACTTAAGCTGATTTGTGGGCCAGAAGAGGCTTCCTTGAAGCCTACAGGATGAGACAGAAGAATGAGTGGGAATGAGTCTGGTGACCATGACAAACAAAGTGTCACAGGCTCAAGAACATTGTTCAGGAAGGGCCAGAGGTGGCAATGTGCTATGGTAGCAGAGATGGCAGGCATTATGGGCATCTGATTTTTAGATGAGGGAAATATAATACACTTAATGCTGTTGGGGGAAATGCAAGAGAGAGAGAGAGAGAGAGAGAGAGAGAGAGAGAGAGAGAGAGAGAGAGAGAGAGAGAGAGAGGGAGGGAGGGAGGAAAGACACAGAGCCGGATGTTGGAGGCAGCAAAAGACAAATTTGAACTCTGCTTCAACAGCTGTGTCTTGACATGCTACTTAACTTGTATGCTCCTCAACCTACTTGCCTGTAAAATGGGGATATTCATAGTACCTACTCCTAGAGCTATTGAAATGATTAAAAGAATTAGTAGAGGATAAGGCAGTGAATTGTTTAAATAAGATGAATGAGTGGAAAAAAATGATTATGATGTCCAACACGGCTTGTAGATTTCCCTCTGTTAGGATGAGGATCATCTCCTCTATTGAATTTAAAGGAGGAAATATCTGTAACGTATTCTGATTCTGGCCAATGAAAGATATCTCTAGAAGGGACAGTGAAAGAGCACAAGAGGAAGGAAGGTGGGGTGCGACTAGGTAAGTGGGAACCTAGTGTGGTAGAGTGAAATAATTAGGAAACAATGGAGGACCCCTCTGACTTGCTCAGAAGTCCTAGGAAATAGAGGTGTGGCAAACACAGGTGGTTTATAGTGCTGTCAAGGTGAGTCCTGTGTGAGGCAGCTGTTCCAATCAGAGTCCTGTTTCTACTTGTCCTGTTCCTACTTGTTCCTACTTGAGACAGGCATAGGTTAAGAAGCCTCATTTTCCAAAAATGGTGTGAAGCCCTTGCTTAGCTCAGAGGTGGTGTCCTTTTTGCTAGGCCTTTCTTGGCTCTTAAAAACAATGCTTTAAGCAATACATTTCAATGTATCAAGATTCTCTTCACAGTTCCTTTTGAAATGCATTCTAGATGATACTAAGTAATAATAGGGTATTATTTTCACTGTTTAGTCTACCGCAAAATGACAAAGATATCTCTTCAGTTTTAAAACATATAATAACTTTGGACTTTTCCAAGAGTAAGGAATGGGCAGTGAGGAATAGCTTGGAAATGACCTTGAAGAGGAGAAGGGAGCTGTGAGAAGAGGCCAGGTCCTATGCTTTTCTCTGCCTTTCCTGGAGCAGAAACTATGGGCAATTATAATATCCAATTACAAATATTCCTATATTTAAAGCATGTTGAGGGGTATGATTTTTAAAATATTCATTAATAGAAACATTAGGATAGCAAAAAGGCACATAAATATTCCTTATGGGACCCTATAGGCACTCTTCTATTGTGCTACTGTATACCTTAGCACTTTGGGATGGGTGTTTGTGGTCTCCCAGTTTATTCTATTTTGTTCCAAAGGGGAAAAATTATCATTTATGCAATGTGCAGAATCCCTTGACAGACACTATTATCAGAGGCTGTTCTGGAAAAGTGGGCTTGTGTAGCTTCTTTTTAGGCATTGCTGGGGATTGGGGCAGAATTGAGAGAGCACCCCATTCTGGTAGCAGGTTGCAAGACTACCTGGAGCTGGGCATACCACTGTGGTGTGTGATGGGTAGGGCAGTGGAGACCTGGAAAGCGCCTGGAAGCACCTGGAAGTCCTGGGGTGGGGGCAGCTTACACAGGGGCAGAAACACACTTTTGGGGCTGTTACTCACGTTAAAATGTGTGGACATTATGTGAATCAATTGAGAAAAGGATATTGTTGATGGAAAATAAATAAGCAGGGTATTTCTTAAACCAAAGATCTTGACTAGTACATAAAACTGTCAGTGTTAGAGAGGTTTTAAAACAAATACATCTTGAAAATTATAATTGTAAAAAGGAAAAATGCTGTTTTTATTGTAGATGTGGACTTTCCAAAAATCTTACTTTCCTATTTCCATTTCTTCATTTTTGATTCATATGGGAATATCATGCCAGGTCAAAATAGGTTAATTCTGTTGATATGACAGTGATCCTTAACTAGAAAGGGAGGAAAGATGATTCATGAAAAGAATTTTTTCGTGAAAATCTAAAAGTTTCTTGCTAGATTTTAAAAAATTTTTATTAAATTTTAAACAGCAAAGTAACTAACTTCCAAGGACACAAAGGAATGTATGAGTGTAAAAGAACTTCTGTAATAATTATATGTAATTAAAATCTTTTCATAAACATTTAAAATTTTTATTTTTGACTTTGTACTATACTTTGTTTTCTATAAGGATAGACTTTTGTTAATTTATCCACTTAACAGAATTATTAATTCCTGCTGTGTACACAAGTAGCTTTTTAAGACATAATGATATAGAAGGGGGAAAAAAGATAAGATCCTCACTGTTTCAGAGCTGATGTTCTACAGAGGTGGGAAGGAAAAGATGAGAAAACAGTTAATAAATAAGTAAAGAGATTCTGTCTCACCCCAGTCAGAATGGCAATTACCAAGAATACAAATAACAATAAATGTTAGTAGGATGTGGGGACAAAGTTTCACTTAATACATTGCTGATGGGAATGCAAACTGGTGCAACACTCTGTAAAGCAATATGGAGATTCCTTAGAAAACTTGGAATGGAATAACCTTTGACCCAGTTATCCCACTCCTCAGTTTATACCCAAAGGACTTAAAATCAGAAAACTACAGTGACACAACCAGTTGAATGTTTTTAGCCACTCAATGCACGATAGCCAAGCTATGGAACCAACCCAGATGCCCTTCAACAGATGAATGGATAAAGAAAATGTGGTATATGTACACAATTGAATATTTTCAGCCATAAAGAAAAATGGAATTATGGCATTTGCTGGTAAATGAATGGAGATAGAGAATATCATGCTAAGTGAAATAAGCCAGTCCCCAAAAACCAAAGGCAGAATGTTCTCTCTGGTATGTGGATACTAACCCACAGCAAGAGAAGGAAAGATTAGAAGTTCATTGGACTAGACAAAGGTGAATGAAGAGAGGGGAGAGGGGCTAGGAATAGAAAAAGACAGTAGAATGAATCTGACATATCTTTCCTATCCTTATATATGAATATGTGACCAATGTAATGCCACATCATATACAACCACAATAATGGCATCCCAACTGGAACAAGTTATACTTATTCTATGTATGTCTAATATGTCAAATCACACTCTACTATCATGTATATCTAGAAAGAACAAATTGAAAAATAGGATATATGAATTTTTTTCAGTTATAGTTAACTTTTTTGAATGATCTAATGAAAGAGAGTTACTGGGGGAGGAGGACTTTTTTTAAAGATTGTGTGAGCAGATAAAATGACAGAGATAACTATGAAGAGAAAGAGCTAGCCCTCACATAAAATAATTCTTAGAAAATTTGAAATGTATAGTTATGATTAAAGATGTATACCTTTCTTTGTATGTATGTCATTGTTACAATCATGTATGTGTGTGAGAGAGGGAGAGAGAGATCGTTTAGTGACTAAACTGTAAATCCTGAGAGGGCAGGGTTGTTCCTTTTTTTCCCCCTTCTTATGATATACCTCTGTAACCTGATACATTGCCAAGACTGTATATCACTTAATAATTCTTGAATGTATGAATGAGTCATTTTTCCAGAAATTGATGTTGCTTATAAACATACTAGTATTGGCAGATGATGGCAATTATTAGTATATACTGAAAGTGATTATGATGGTAATAATATGAAAGTGAAAGCTAAGCCTTATAGGCAATAAAACAAATGAACAAACAAACAAACAACAGCATAAACAAACCTTAGGGAAGAGCTTTGAGTGGATACTTATCTTCCTAAATGGAAAGTTTCTTTTGGATAAACCATTGCATTGGATCATTAACCCTATTGGTAGTTTATCTCATAAGAATAAYGCTCAGCTTTGCAATAGGGTAGGCCTGTGAAATCAGAGACTTTGACCTGAATTCCTAACCACTAGTGCGGTCTCTTTGGCTTTTCCATTATTTTCATTGTGTTGTCTAGTTCACAGGAGTCTTCAGTTCTACAAAATCAAATTCTTGACACTATTTGAATTTGATATGTAAAATGAAAAAAAGAGTAGGATTTATTAATGAAATGACTTTGCCCAATGTGTTAGTCAGTTTTTCATTACTGAAACAAGATTCTTGAGATAGTCAGCTTATAAAGAGGAAAGGTTTATTTGGACTGAATGCTTTAGAGGTTTCAATCCATAGTTAGTTTGTGCTGTTGGTTTTGGGCCTGTAGCAAAGCAGCACATCATAGCAAGAACACATGAGAGGAAATTACTCACTTCATAGTGTCTAAGAAGCAGAGAGAGGGGAGAGAGTTGAAGAAGAAACTGAAGACCCATAATTCCCTTTGCGGACATAATYCCAGTGACCTAACACCTCCCAATGGGGTCCACCTTCTAAAGTTTCTAGCACCTCCCAAGAGTACTAAGTTGGGTCCAAACCTTTTTAACACATGGGCCTTTGGGAGACATTTCAGATCTAAACTATAGCACCCAACATTAGCAATATATTAATAAAAGTGAGTCATAAAAAGCACTGGTGATCTCAATAGGATATTTGTTTTATAAACTGTCAAATAAGTGAAATTTTCTATAAAATCTTTAATTAAAATTAACTAAATTATATTTAATGCCAAATAGGAAATGAGGAAATATATTCTATGCAAAGTTAGAGTTAAAAAATATCTTCCAAATGTAGTGTGCTTTGTTCAAAACTGCTAAATCATTAACTTTCAAGCACTTGCTCACAATCTGTCACAACCTAGTACAGACACCCATGATAATAATGATGACAGTAACAATAACCATCATTCAAATAGTGCTTACATACTCTGTACACTTTATATATTCATTCACTCAACACAACAAATACTATCAAAATAGGGATTATTTCCATTCTGCAGATGAAGAAACTGAAGCACTGAGAGATTAGCTGACTTGCCCCAATTTTATACTAGTGAGTACCAGCATGAGAACTGAAACCTAGGCAGACTGGTTCCCAGAGTCCCTCCCATTTAAATGTATACTGTACTGCCTCAGAAATAACAGTTTTCTGAAATAGTGTTTACTTTACTGCTGTGGATGTCCTCTGATATTTTCTATTTAATCCAAATCTGCTTATTCTGATTAGAGAATTTGGTGTCACCCAGAGGTAGCAATCCAGAGTTTGAAAAACAGATTGAAAAATGAGTGTGTGTGTGTGTGTGTGTGTGTGTATACACACATGTATATATACACATACACATTCTATGTTATATATATACATAAATGCTATATATATATGATATCCATATTCCAGTGTGAGTGTGTGTGTGTGTGTGTGTGTGTGTGTGTGTGTATTCCAACAGAGTTAAGATTTTTAAAAAATAAAGATGATGTTTACTTCAGGGCTTAAATTTTTATGTGCTTTTCTTAAAGAATTGTTGATGTTACTATTTTGGAAATCTTAGATTAGGGCTTTACTATAACTCACCTGTAAGTGTCATCTCAACATTTCATATTGTATTAGTCAGGCTTACTTATATATTAGATAGATTTATTATAAGGAATTGGTTCACATGACTATGGGGGAGGCTGGCCACGCCACAATCTGCAAGCCAATGTCCTAGATTAAATCTGAAGAACAGCAGGCTGCAAAGAACTAGGAAGAGCTGGAGTCTAGTTCACAGGCTGTCAGGTGGGAGAGTTCTTACTTGGGGGAAGGGTCAACCTTTTGTTTTCTTCAGGACTTCAGCTGACTGGATGAGACCCATCCATATTACAGAGGGCAATCTACTGATTTAAATGTTAATCAAATCCCTTATAGAAGCACTCAGAATGCTGTTCAACCAAATATCTAGAAATCTTGAGGTCCCATCAAGTTGATGTAAAATTAATATCACAAAAGTGGACATCTCAGAAAACATCCTAAGAGATTATTGCCTTTCTGTTCAGAATAATGTCCATGAGTTGTAATTTAATTTGAATACTGCACATCTGTAGGGTTTGAGTCCTCTTACCTTACTTTTCTAACGTCTAGGATTACTAGACAAATATGGGTGCCCAATTGCTCTTTTCCCTCTTGCAAGGGAAATAATTTTGATTAGTATTTAGTTCAGTAATATTATTGCCAGGCATATGACTGCTTGAACTTTCTGATCAAGTAACTAGTAAAGTCAGGGGCATTGTAAAGATCAGCATAGACTGAATTTGGACACAATGCCAAGTAATGTAAAAAGATGAAAGCTAAGATATGTAGAAAGTGCAGGTTCTATTTAGAGAAGAAACTGAGTGTATTAGAGGTCACGTAGTTCATCTGTAATCCATGCAGAGACCATCTAATATAGTAAACAATAGTGCTACTCTTTTTTTTAATTTTAAATATTTTTTAAGTTGTTGATAGACCTTTATTTATTTATTTATTGTTTATATGTGGTGCTGAGAATCGAACCCAGTGCCTCACATTTGCCAGGCAAGTGCGCTAGCACTGAGTCACAGCCCCAGCCCTAGTGTTGCATATAAGGCAGTTGTTAGAAGTTGCCAATCACATTGATCATGTGCACATTTCACATTTACATACAAATAAATACTTCATTCTTTTGGATTCAATTTTGAAATTATTAATACAATTGAGGAAAATAAAAACAAAAATGTGAGCAAGGCACAAATTTTGAATATAAGTAAAACTGTACAAAGTGTTAATTTTAAAGCCCCATAGATTTCTTTTTCATAGAAGCTGTGATAATATTGTCTTTTTAAAAATTAAGTAAAAGCGAGATTGTATTATTGAGCTTAATATATTGAATTATCCATTTAAGAAATACTGTAGTTGTTTATGGTGAAAAAAAATCTTTTTTTTTTAACTTTGATAAATTTGTTTAGGTTTTATCTGCTGATCTTACAGAAAAGATTCCTGCTTTTCCACATAAATTTAAAAATAATGGTTATTTTTGCAGTGCTTGTATTTTGTAAAGCTTGTATCTCCCTGACAATTAGATGCAGCCTCATGATAAAAAGTTATTCCAGGAATTTTAGCTAATATGTTTTAAAATTTTAAAAAACTTTTAAGCACTATTTTGTTTCACCACCTTTCCCTCTTTTTTTATTAAAACAACAAAATATTTTAAACTAACACTAAGAAATTATTTCATCTTTATTAAATATCAGCTTTCTCATTTGTAAAATGGCAGTAAAAATTCTTACGAGAGTCCTACCATGGCCCTGAGGATAAGATGATAATTTCTAACAAGTTTTTGAAAGAATTGAACATCATATGCTTACTAAGGCAATATTAAGGCATTATAGTGATTATATTAAGGCAAAATTAGCATACTGGAAGAAATATACAGCTTACTCTAGGTTAGGGTCATGAATTGAGACTTAGTAATATAGTTTAGGCAAAATATAAGGAGCTGTATGCCTCTGACACCTTATGAATGATATTTGCATTAAAAAATAAACTGAACATAATTTAATTAGATCTTTAAAACTCTTTATTTAGAAGAAAACAAAACTGCCTTTCAAACTTATCTTGACATGCAGCTACAGGATATTCAGTACTTGATGGAAAACATCTGGGCCTCACAGTCGGTTCTCAGCGCCTGGGACGATATCAATGATCTGGTCCTGGTCAGATGGGATAAAAACCTAGAGTGGTCTCCCTGGAACTGCATTCTTCTCACCAAAGATGAAGCAGTTGCTCATCTTAAACTAACAAATATTGAAGAGGTAAGAATTTGTGCTTTATTTGGGGAGTTAATTTATTCATTGGAATTATCATGGGTAACTTGATTGCCTTTATATGCATTCCATGATTGATTTAAATACTTCCCCATTGGATTAAGAAACAGAATTTATAGATTAACAGTAACAAAACATGTGGATGATATGGAAGGCAGAGGTTAAAATAACTAGATTATATTCAATTGTGTGCATGTACAAATATGTAGAAAAGAATTCCACTATTGTGTGTAACTATAATGTAAAAATGAAAATATATTTTTTAGATTACAAAGGGAAGCTATAACATATAACAGGCAAAGATAAGTGATTTGAATGAAAAAATACCTAAACATCATGCCACTACCTTCCAACAGCAAGTTCAAGCCCATTAATTCCACAATTATTTCCATGAGGGTAAAGATTTTGTTTCATTTATTTGCATCTATACTCTAATACCCATAATTGTGCCTGTCATTGGCTAGGAATTTTAATAAGTATTTATTGAAAAACTAAGTAGATATTACTACCACAAAGGTATTATGAAACTCAGCATCTGTCCTTTGATTGATTAATAATTATCACAAGGTTGCCTAAAAGTACACTCAATTGACAAATGTATTTTGTTCATAATTTTGTACTTTAGTACTGATGGGGCTTTTTTTTTTTTTGCTTCTAACTTGGATTGGAGAAAGCACTGCCAATATTAAAAACCATTTAGTTTCAATAACTTACAAGATGCAATTTGTAAAACATTTTGATGAACAAAATTGAGGGCCCCCTGAAGAGTTCCTACAGAGCTCCATTTACACTACCCAAGCCCAGCATCCCAAGGCTGATACTGATTATCTGCCTTCAGTTGGTTACACTGCTGCACCTTCAATTCCAGGCATGATGTCAGCTAAAGGAAAATAAAGAAATGATGTCAAATAATCATTTAGAATAGTGCTATTCCCTGCCTGTTTGTTTTTAGAGTGGGGTAGGGTTACTTGTCTAGTATAAAAGGAGAAACTAGTTAAATGTTTTAGCTTTTTTTTTTTCAATAATTTTCAGAGTCTTAAGTATTCAGGCTAAGAAAAATTTTACTCTAGGGATTGAAAGAAAGGGCAGCAAGAAATTGAGGCTGTGTTAAATGTTATATTTAGTAAACTAAGCTGCCTTATAAATATTTGATCACTGGAAGCATAGCCAATACTAGCAATATCATTTCATCTAGAACCCAAAATAAGATTGAAGTTCATTCCCAGAGCTGATATTCCAGTGCTTCTTCAATTAATCCACACAACTCCCTTTGTGTATTTAATGAAATTATTGCAGTATCAAATTAAATGTCCTATTCACAAGCATTTTTAATTTCAGGGTGCCAATCTTTCTGAATTTCTGGAAGCAAAGTGAAGGTTTTCAGCCAAACTTAAAAATGTTTGCCTTTTTTATGGTTTGGGCTGATATAATCTTTTAAGTAGTAATATTTGGTCTAGATAAGAATATTGTATGTTTTATAACAAGTTAAAGGATTTCCAGAATTTCTTTGGTGCACAGAGATAAATGCTTTCTCGGGCAGTCAAAAACTTAAAATTCAAAATAATCTTGACTCCCTGCAAATCTCACAAGTTATAGGAAAGACATTGGAGAAAGACTTCTGTTCTGTGAATCTAAGGAAGGCAGATGGATCTCTCAAAGTGTGCACATTGGCCAGAGTAGGAACAATTGTGGACTAAAAATCAGCAGTCCTGACCCAGTTCTTCCCTAGCTTTTTCACTAACAACCTGCCCTCTTTGCTTCATGAATTTTTAGATTAGCTAAAAATGTGGAATCTGTAAAAAGAACGAAAGCAGCCCTGTCTTTGAATTCTGGCATTCTCCTTTATGAGTTAGGTTTGGGGAAGGTTGCTAATGTCTTGATGCCCCAGTTTTCTCATCTATAAAAAGGAGATAATGTTATCTCATCACAGGAAAGAATTGAATAGCCTACTGTTTAAAGCTCTCAGCTTAGTGTTGTGCATGAATCAACTTGGGTAGTAACTATGTATGTAAAATGACAGTATTTTAAAATTTTTTTGGTGCATTTTATTTTTAATTGTAAGAAGGACAATGCATTATTGGTTTAAGTATATGAACAGGTTAAAATAATATAAAGAATAAAAGTCTCCTGATATCCACCCATCCCTATATGCACATTCCATAGAAAACTTATATTTCTTATATACAATTTAATGAAATCTTTCTAGAAGTGTCTATGTGCAAGTATATTTGTGTGCACATATATATGCCTACATATATGTATATATACACATATATTTACACATACTTTTAACTTAAAGTATGTATATATAGTTTCATTTATTTAATGTAAAAATTGCTGTGTAACTTGATTTCTTTGGGGTTGGCTTAACAATAGATAGTGGGTTACTTTCCATATTATATTATTTTTAAAGAGTAACTTAATATTTCCTTGAATGCATATACCCTAATATACTTGGCTCTTCTTTTTTAATTTTTAGATTTGTAAGGATATTTTGGAATCTGCAAGATTTTATACACATATACATTAACCTAGCAACACAGAAATGTTTTAGTTTTCCTTGGATGAATATGGACAAACGTTGGAACAAAATTAGATTAGTGCCAAGGACAAGTATTTATCTACTAAATTTTTCTGTAAAGAGGAAACTTTAAAAAAAGCTAGGACATTTCTGTATAAAACTTTCTGTAAAAATACTAGCCATTGTATATTCTATTGTCATGTATAACTAAAAAGAACCAATTAAGAAAAATGAATACCAAATCCATTGGCCCTTTTTCCCCAGGGCTGACTTTACCTTAGATTTGACCCTATAAAGAGATTTTTAGGGGGAGAATTTCTTACTTTCAGAAAGTAATGTACTGGTGATTGGTTGAAAAGCGAATAAGAGTAACAAAGAGAATAGATGAAGTTTATTAATTTAATCAGAATTTACCTTTAAAAAACATTTTTAGTTGTAGATGGACACAGTTTCTTTATTATATTTATATGTGGCGCTGAGGTTCGAACCCAATGCCTTACATGTGCTAGGCAAGAGCTCCACCACTGAGCTACAATGCCAGCCCACCAGGATTTACTTTTGAATGTATTAAATATTATGCAAGGTGCTTAGAGAAAAATGCAGAAATATAATGAATGTGATTCATCATTGTTTTGGATGCTTTCAGGCTTAACCCCAACATGAGAATGAGCCATTTATCATGACTTGTCAAATGTGAGTCTAGTTTCCTTTATGTAGCAAGGTCAGAGGTTGGCAGTCCCAGGCCAGTGTGGTAGCTCCACAGGGCTCTTGGAAACTCAGGCCTTCCGATTTCCCTCAGCCAGCTTCAACCTTTGGTTTTCATTCTCATGCTTGTGGATTCTTAAGTCATAAATTGGAATAAATTACATTATATCTGACCCCAAGTATGGTCAAGGACTAAATATGCTTAATACGTGAGTCTTCCCATTCTTAAAAATCTCTTCAAAAAACTTTTCTGTAGCTAAACTGTGTGTGTGTGTGTATGTGTAAATATAAATTTGTTACTTGTTACATGGAAATTCGTAGCTTGAATAAAGACCAGAAAGTTGGGAACATCTAACCCTATATAAAACTAAGCCTGTACCTATAAATGGAAAAGAGAATGAATATTAAATAGGTAGCTTGCAGTGGTTTGGACTTGAGAGGCCAGGAGAAGACTCAGGGAAGGCTTCTAGTTTGAAACATCATAGACTGAGCCCTGAAAGATAACACAAAGTAAGAGAAAACAGGCAACAAACCTGTATTCTGTGGATAATGAACTTTTAAATAAAGACACTGAGACACAGCATTTTTGCCTGATGACATATATCTGTGGTGACTTTTAATAGAATTTAATTTTCTTTTCTTTTCAGGAATATGGACAAATATTTATCCACAAGATCAAACACAAACATATCCTGGCTAAGAACTACTTTTCTCAGATTCCAGCATTGGCTTCCTATATACTTGATCATGGAGAATTTAATGAGATCAGAAAAAAATATTATACTGATACATCACCTAAAATTATAAAAGTCAATGGGCCTCATTCTTAGAGGATCCAGAAATACTTGTTTGATGACAAACCTTTTCATCCACTGCTAAGAGAGTAATACAGTAGTTGCATGATATGGAAATGGAATTTTATCTTTTTATTAATTTTAATTATATTTTGTTTTTCATAGTATGATAAATTGTGTGAAGAGAAAACATCTCTATAAATGTTTCTTTGTTAGGCATTAGTTTTAAACTGAACTGTGATTTTGTTACTGAAATGTATAGTTTAAAGAGAACCTTTAGTTTAAATTTTTTTCACGGTAAATTAAAAAAAATGTAAATGCTTTATAGTTAAAATACAACATCCAAACAACAACAAGGCCTGACATTTAGTGCAAATAGTCTATTTAAGACAAAATATAATTATAGGAGAGTAGTCAGAGAATTCTCTTTCTTGAAACTCTATAAGTAGGATGAAAGACTGTATTTCAATATGGGAATTCTATCTTTGTCTTTTAATATCTACTTTTATCTTCTTTCTTAAAATCCCAGTAAAAAAAACTAAAACTATTTGTAAACACAGACACAAGAACCTGCATTTAATTTTGTAAACAAGGCAAATAGTGGAGCTACTATTTTATGAGAAAAATAACTCCCCATGGGGCAATGGTGAAACTCTTTGGCGAGAATAGATACGATCAAGTCAGACACAACAGCCCAGAAGAATGACCTGGACCACATGTTTGTCAGGACTCAGTGGTATATGCACAGTTGTATATCAGTCTTAACAAGAAAGAGATGGCACATTTAAAATACCATCACTTCAGAAGAGGACCTATTATAAAATGTGGGTGGAGTATAAGGAAATAGTGTCAGAACCCAGGTCCAGTTTGAGGTGTGCAGAATCTACCTCTTCTCTCAAAGGAACCCCAGAGGGGGAAACCTGGGAACTCAGAAAGAAAAGAGTGCAAAGAAGGCTTTGGAGAGGACCAGTGACAGGCTATCCATGGCACTGCCAGCTTTGGGTGATCTCATGGAGAAAGAAAGAAAAAAAAAACACCCCATTTCACATTTCCCTTCCTCCAGTGTGCTTGGGTTTTCCATAAGCAGAACCCAAGGGGAAAGCTGGAAGAGGAGTGGTCAGAAGTCATATGGCTTCAGGACAAAGAGCAAGGTGGATAAAGGGTTGGAGTAGATCTGGAAGATGGAGAGAAACTATCAACACAGAGAGGGAACTAAAAATGAAGGTCTATAATTCAAACAGCAGCATTTCACTCACAATTATAGAAAAATGTAAAATTTCCTCCCAATTCTAATCAGCAATTAATGAAGCTGTTCTTTTAAGTTAAGTGATCAAGAATTTCATTCTGTATGCATATTTGATAACATTTTCACAACACATTTTCTAGGATGTCTACACTTTTTCTTAGCAAAAGCACCTTGCATTACCATTGTTAAGGAACTGAACATCTGAGAGGAAAGCGATATAACACTTGTCATTTTTGTACATAATCCAGACATTCTGGGAACTTTCTAAACAACATATTACAGAGGGGACTAGATTGGGGATATTTAAAAAAATTCGTTCTAATTAATTATACATGGATGCATTTTGACACATCATACATAAATGGAGTATAACTTCTCATCTTCTAGTTGTATATGAGGTAGAATTACACTGGTCATGTAATCATATGCACACATAGGGTAATAATGTATGATTCATTCTGTTATCCTTCCTACTCTAATCCCTCTCCCCTCCCTCCATTTCCCTCTGTCTAATCCAAAGTACCTCTATTTTCCCTMCCCCCCCCCCCCATTTTGAATTAGCAGCTGCATATCAGAGAAAACATTCAGCCTTTGGTTCTTTTGGATTGGCTAATTTTGCTTAGCATGATATTCTCCTGCTCTGTCCCTTTACCAGCAAATGCCATAATAGATTGGGGACATTTTGGTCACTGATAAAATGACAACAATTTAACACAGACATATGCAAGTTTACACTGGAACACAAGTAACCAGATTTTCCCACAAGACAGTGAGAATTTGACAGCTCTGAGAATTAAGGGCTGGGAAGGTAGCAAGGGGGAGATAGATAGGGGTAAATAAAGAATTTAGGAATTCCCCTATTGACCCACTGGTGAAGCTGCCAGTAGCAATCTAGGAACAGAAGTCTGGAGTAAAATTGACAGGGCTGAAAAGGTGATTTGAGGCCTGAGAGAAAGACAGAGGGTGGGTATTTATTTCCCATCTGTTTCTTGATCTGTCATTGGTGGCTGCTTTTCTCTGCCCAAGCCCATGGCTCCAGTTGGGTGATCATGCCTTCCTCACTTCAACTTTGGATTCTGGAAATCATTCTTTCCCTTTTCTCCTTTAGTTCACAAGTGAGTGTCTTTCTTTTTGTAGCTAGTTTACTTTTTCTTGCTGGTTTCCTTAAATAATGTCTTCTCCTTTGTAAACAGCCTTGTTATTAACATGCTTCTCAAACTAAATAGCCTGAGTGTACCAATTGGTTCCTGGTAGATCCTGACTAAAGCAGAAATTGATCCCAGGAGACCAACCTTAAAATGGAATCCTCGGCTTGGATTGCTCACACATTTGAGGAACATATGGGCATCCTCCTTGCTGGTGGTGGATAACGATAATAACGCAGCATGTGTCAGCAACACGGTTACTCAAATTATCATCCGTGGTGGCGCAGCATGGGGTGCAGATGGAGAACAGAGCACAAGGAAGGAGATCCAGTGTTTGAGGGCTAGTCTACATATCCAGCAATTTTCTGGGCCTCAAGCCTATATGTTAAGTTCTGAATTCTAGGTAAGAACATATATTTGGCTTGACATAATCTCTTACTTTATTATTTTTAGTCTAATATCCTTAGGGATATACTCTTACACTTACTCTCCTGACTCTTGATATGAAATGCCAAGATGTTAAAGCTCTTCAGTGTACAGCTAATTCATATGAGGCCACACTTTGATCTTCCTCATCCGTATCCTTAATGTAGAATGAGATCTGTTAGGAGTGCAGATTTAATTGACAGAACAGCTCTGTAAACCTTACAGTCAGTCTCTCGACTTAATCGTCAGTCACATCTGCCCTACATATACAGAAAATAAGGAATTTCTTTGTAGTTGTTGCAAAGACATTCTGATTTTTTTTTTTAAATCAGGGCCTTAAAATGACCATTCAAAACTTTCAACTTATCCTTTTCTTTTTGAGTCTCCTTTAAGGTAAGAAAGACTCATTGCTTGCCACAGTCTTTGTCATCAAAGTGACTATGTGCTTGAAGTATTTGATCTCCTTGTGCTTTATTCTCCATCTGCACCCCATACTGTGCCACTGCTGGTGGTAATTTAGGTAACCATGGCACTACCACATGCTACATATTTTTATTATACCCCACCCCAACAAGGATGTTATCCATATATTCCTCAGATATATGTGAGCAGTCTGAGCCAAGGCTATAGTAGCCTAGAGTGTCAAAAGTGGTGTAACCTAATGAGCTTGAGATGCCAGAAATTCCCTAGAAAACATAAAAGCTCAGGAAAATGATGCATGATTGGAGTATGGATCTTTCATGTGAAACCTTCCCAGACACTTTGTAGAAATATCTTATTGAGACATGAAGTTCAAGAAATGCCTTGGTGAGTGGATTACCAGTGTCATTGAAAATCTCTGTGTTGGCCGGTCCCTGTAGTCTTAAGATGACAATAGGCATGCTGAAATTTGAATTTGATAATCTGATTTAGTAGGAATAATGTGATAGGGAAGTTGGGGGTTTGGGGGTGAAGCTTAACTGTAAGAGAAAAAGTAAGTTGAGTTATAAGAAGTGTCCTAAGGACGAAAAATTTAAAATACAACAAATATCAGTGATGGTTTTACAGAAATTGGAACCCTTGCATCCTACTTGTGGGAATGCAGAATGATGCAGTTGCGATGGAAACATTGGGAAGTTTCTTCAAAAATTGAAAGTAGAACTATCATATGATCCAACAGTCCAACTTCTGGGTGTTTATAAAAAATAACTTGAAATTTGGATTTTAAAGAAATTTTGGCACTCACTCTCAGGTTCACTGTAACATTATTCACATGCCAAAATAAGGAAACAATGTGAATGTTTATCAATGAATGAACACATTTTAAAAAATTGTACATATATACAGTGAAATACTATTGAGCCTTAGAAAAAGAAATCTTGCAATAGTTGATAATATGGATGAACCTTGAGAACATATACTAAGTGAAATAAGTCAACCAGACAGGACAAAGACCAAAGGGTCCATTTATATGAGGAATCTGAAATAATTAAAGAAGCAAAGAACAGAAGTGTGGGTGCTGCCCGCTGGTGGGGGAGAGGGAAACTGAAGGTGCTAATCAATGGATATAAAATTTCATTTATGCAAGATGAGTAAGTTCCAGAGATATGCTGTGCAGATATGTATCTGCAGACAACAATGCTGTATTTATTTGTATGTATTTATGTGCACTAAAAACAATGTTAAGAAGGTAGATTTTAAGTGCTCTTACCACCCTAAAACCAAAAAGAAATGCCCAAGAGACAGAGTGGTTTGATCCTCTAGGAATTTATCACAATGATAATTTATAATATTGATGATCAGATCTATAGGAAGGAAATGAGCTACTGTATTCGTTTCCAAGGGTCATTATAACAAGTTGTGATGAACTTAGCTTAAAATAACAGAAATGTATTTTCTCACAGTTTTAGGGGCCAGCAGTCTGAAATCAAGGTGTTGGCAGAGCTATGTTTCCCCGCTCCTTAGATCCTTCCCTTGTGTCTAACAGCTTCTGATGGCTCTCACTGTTGCCTGCTTCTTTGGCTTCATTGTCCCAGTCTCTGCCACTGGGTGTTGAAGTGAGGAATCATAATCTATGCAGAATTCTCAGACTTAAACCACTTCACAGACCCAGAGCTTCTGTATGGAGGGAGAGGTTGGCTTCAGCACACTTTTAGATGTTTATGGTGAATGTTCCTACAGGCCACCTTCAGTATATTTTACCAGGGGACAGTGCCCTGGGGAAAGGTAAATACCCAGAC